ATTTAATTCTCACAACAATCCTAGCAGGAAGGTACTAATGTTACCTCTTGGAAAACAGAGGACAGAGAAGTTAAGTAACCTCCCCAAGGTCACACAGCTAGTATGTGATAGAGACAGCTTTGAACCCAGCAGCATGGGTCTCAAGCCCTTCTCTGCTGCCTCTCCAGAAGATGGATGATTTTCCAAGAGGAAAAATGTTCCCCAATCTCTGGAGGCATTTCCTTTAGTCATCACTTCAGAGTGAGCGGGCTGTGTAAGCATCAAGTGGTAACAGGATCCCCCATTCCCTGGATGTGTCTGTTTCTCTGGGATTCCAGGACCTGCACCCTTTTCTTGTGAACTTTACAATCATTGGTGTGCTAGGGATCCTGGGGCAGCATCTGCGTGTGGAATCAGCCAGATGTTAGCTGACCCCTGCGTTCACGGTGTCCTTTCACGGCTCTGCACTGGCTTTGGGTGTCTGTGGCTGCAGGGGTAATGTGCTTCCTGGCTGGAGCCTTGGAGAAAGGGAGTTTCCCTTCTCAAGGACCCAGTGATCCTTTTGCAGCTCAAAGCTCCAGCTGGGGCTGGGCATGGTGGCTCATGCCTGTAATCCAAGCACTTTGGGAGGCCGAAGGGGGCAGATTGCTTGAGGTCAGGAGTTTGAGGCCAGCTTGGCCAACATGGTAAAACCCCATCTTTACTTAAAAAAAAAATTAGCTGGGCATATAGTCCCAGCTACTTGAGAAGCTGAGGCACAAGAATCGCTTGAACCCAGGAGGCAGAGGTTGTAGTGAGATCAGATCCTGCCACTGTGACAGAGGAAGACTCAGTCTCGGGGGAAAAAAAAAAAAAAAAAAGGCTCCAGCCTCTCTGTCTTTGCACTGTCAATGCTACCACATCCAGCTGCCACTGGTGTGTATTTAAGATGCCTGGCCTTGCCTGGCTGGTCTGAGACTTCCACCACTGCTCCCTATTCATAAACGCTGCTAATCAAGACCTCAGAATCCCTCTTAACACAGCCCTCCAAGCAACTACGATTGACTGGCATGGACTTGGGAAGGGAATGACAGGGACAGAGGTTTGGGCCAGAGTCAACCACCTGGCACTGCTCTGACTCTGAAACAGAATCTCCCAGGTATCTCTCTGATAACCAACTATGTCACGTTATCTACCTCTGACACCTGACTATGTCATAGGAGCTAAATCACGTTCCCATAACCTTTAGCAGGAGGCGTTTTCTCAGACCAGTTGGGAAGGTTGGTTTAGGTTTTATGTTTTTCCTGAGGACCTTTCTTTATTTTTCTTTTTTTCTGAGATGGAGTTTTGCTCTTGTTGCCCAGGCTGGAGTGCAGTGGCACAATCTTGGCTCACTGAAACCTCCGCCTCCTGGGTTCAAGCGATTATCCAGCCTCAGCTTCCTGAGTAGCTGGGATTACAGGTGCCTGCTACAACACCCGGCTAATTTTGTATTTTTAGTAGAGACGGGGTTTCACCATGTTGGTCAGGCTGGTCTCAAACTCCTGACCTCGGGTGATCCACCCACCTCGGCCTCCCAAAGTGCTGGGATTACAGGTGTGAGCCACTGTACCTGGCCCCCTGAGGACGTTTCTGAGTTATTTGGTGTTCTGCAACCTGGCTGGGACATATTGAGTGGAGAGGTTCCAAGAATCTGACTGTATCAGGAAAGAAACTAAAAATGCAAAGCAAAGTGGAAGGGAAGGAACTCTTATACCCTGGATTAGGCAGTGAAACACACATGGGATCTGGAATCTGGAGACTCTGTTCTGATTCTTCTCTTTCTGATTCTTCCGCTGGCAGCCAAGAACAGTAAATGGGCTTCATCTGACAAGTCAACCCCAGCCCATAGTGGTGACCTAGGGTGCTGTGTGAAGAAGGATCCTGAGGGCCGATAAGGAGTCAATGGGAAACAGTACTCTGACTGATAAGCAATGCCTGCCATGGGTGTGGAAGCAGAGGGCGCGGTATGAGTAAGTGCCACCCCTGCATTGGCTCCTCACGGGCCTCTGTTTGCTTCTCTGTAAAATGGGCCTGTAACATACTCAGCAAATAGGGAGTGGTGAGATGTTCATGAGATACATATACAAATGTTCAGTGGATGCTGGTTTCCTTTGTCTTCTCCCTCTTTCCTTCCCCCAAATCCTGGCTAGCTTTCAAAGCCACACTCAAGCTGCTTCCTCTTCATGATCGCCTTCCCTGAAAATGCTAACCCAGGGTATCTGCTCCTTCCTGCCTCCCCTCCCACCTGCCAGTTCGCCTGGCCTGGCCTGGATTGGTAGGGGAGAGCCCAAACTTTGGAGTCAGGGTGGCCTGAGTTCAAGACCTGGCTCTGTCACTTAAATCGGCTGTGGGACATTTGGCTAGCTGCATCGCTGCATCCTCTCGCTGAGCCTCAGTTTCCTTCTTTGTAGATGAGGGTAATGAGCGTATACTTCTAACAGTGCTGGAAAATTAGATGAGATTGTGCATGGATAGTTCCTAGTATAGTGGCTGGTAGACAGTAAATACTTAACAAATATCCACAATTAGGCTTATTGTTATCAGCATTTGAAGGCTTAAGAATTGCTCAGGCTTTCTTTCTGGTTGCAAAGGATGAGACATAGCAAAATTCAGTCCCATTCCCAAAATATAATCAGTCTTGATCATTCAGTAATTTAAAAAAAAGTCAGGAAGGTCAGTGGGAAGGGTGAGTTGTCCAATCTCAGAAATGTGACTTGCCCTGGACGCCCAGATGCAGAGCAGACAGAGGGGTTCTTTATAGCTATGTGGTTTTAGGAGCCAGCATTAATCACTGCCTGACGATGCCTTCCCCTGATTAGTCTGGGGTCAACGTGTTTGGGGTTTTCACCAGCCGGTCCCTGACGCCTGTAGACAGCTCTTTCATGAGCTGCTTGCTTTAGTTTCCACTGACATCCTGGAGACCTGTTTGATAGCTTACCCAGACCTGGAGCTGGAGGGAGACCTGAGCTCTGAACTACCGGGCATGTCCTGGCTCTGCTGTTGTTCTGTGGCCACACTCTGTGGCCCGGGACCAGCTCCTGTCTAGCACTAAAAACTTTTGAAGGCCAATTAACCATTCTGTGTTTCCTTACATGTAAAACAACTCTGCCTTACAGGGTGATTGAGTTCATGGATGCTGAAGTGTTCTTTTAAAATGTGCTTTTGCTTTTCAAAAAGTACAGATCAAGAAAAAAATCTTAGCCTCTCTTCACTTTATCTGGAAGGGATTTTTCCTCCTTAAGGCAACAGCTTAGAACTGTGCGTCTCAAACTCCATATGGTGAAGGATCAAGGTTTGTTTGTTTTTCACTTATTGCAGAGTGATTTGTGGTCTCTCTCATGTGATTAGAATGTAGCACATGCCCCATGAGATTTCAGTGTGAGTCTTACCACGTGGAATTCTGTTCAATGGTATGAGTTCTCATCCCATCACACAGTTGCATGTCAAACTGCTGTAACATTTTCCCAACATATATTCTCACATTGGGTCTAGGTCACAAAGACTGTGTGGAACAGCTCCAGTCCACAGCCCACACTTAGAGCATCTCTGGCCTAAAAGGTAACATTGCACTAACACTCGTCACACCTATCCTGCACCCTGCACTGTGCTGGGTGCAGGGATGTTACAGTTTACAGGACAGACAGGGTGTCTGCCTTCATATCTAGGCACAGAAAAAAGATAATCTGCTTGCAATAAAAGTTGTTAAAGAAACCAAAAGAAAGAAAAAATGTGATAGGATGGCAGGGAACATCTATTGTAAACTGAATATCTGGGGAAGGACTATTTAGGAAGAGCAAGGAAAGAACTTTTCAAAAAAAGGATCAGGAAGTGGGAAAGCCCCAAGGAGGGCAGGAGCTTGGTGTGTTCTAACACTGGAAGCAGGAAGTTGGAGTGTCATAAGGTGTTGAGATTTGGGAGTGAGAGCACAGTGATGGGAGCCATGGAAGAGCCTGAAGGGTAGGGCCATGAAGGGCTCCAAAGGCACTCCTTTTCTTCCAGCAAATATTCAGTTAAATGCCATGCTTGCATTTTTAAAACTGTTGAACCTTCTACAAATTGTATTAACTTATAGAAATCATCTAGCCTCTTGTTACTCCATGTGTGGGGTTCTGGGGACCAGTAGCATCAACATCACCTGGAAGTGTGACAGGCGTGTCATATCTCAGGATGGCCCTGAACCTGCTGGATGCATTTTGATGAGCTCCTCAGGTGATATCTACACATGTTGAGATTATAGGAGCCCCGATCCAGTGCATTGGATCTTGAAGGTGGCTGCATGGGGAGTCATTTAAAATGGTCACATCTGATGATTTGGATTCTGTAGTCTGGAGCTTCTGACTCAGTGGTCTGGGATGAGACTTGGGTATGGAGACCTTCTGCAGGTCCTGGGGATTCCAGTGAGCAGCTAGGGTGTAACCTTGTGTGAGTCACTTGCTGTCTCTGGACCTGTGTCCTTTCTGCCCTCCTCAGGGTTTCTCTGATCATTTACCTGAGATTTCTCTGGTTGCTTTTGTTCAAGGTTGTATAAAACCAGTTTGTTTCTCCCTTCTAAGACCAATAGGTTTCAGCATTTAGGCAGAAGAGAGAACTGTTTCTCAGCTCTCCTACAGGTTTGCAAAGGGCATATCCCAGGCTCCTTTGAGGGAAAATGAATATCTTGCAGATGGAGACAAGCACTCAGAATTTTGAGTGAAAAACTATCTCCTGTTCGGAAGTAAGGAGCCCAAATGGAACAATGATTGCCCCTGTACTAGAGCTGCAAGGCCTCTTAGGGTCCATATGAATACCTCTACCCATTTCATGGATAAGGAAAACTGAGGCCCAGATAGTCTTCATTTCAACATCACATGATATAAGGGCAGGGCTAAAACCACAGCCACTCCTGTCATTTTTGTGACCTTGATCTCTTGCCACCCCATGTTTGAAGTTCAGAAACACTTGACGTAGCTAGTATTTATAAGGATAGGAAAACAACTGCTTAGTTGGGGAAGCTCTCTTACCAGTTTCTGGGTGACTCCAGGGGGAGCCCACTCGTAGGTGATGGTGTCAAAAGTGGGATCTTTCCCAGTGGCAATAGGGTTGGTCATGATCATCCGGTTCCTCTTATAAATCCGGATGCCGTCCCCACCTTTCACCCGAGCAGTGAGGGTGGAATACTTGGAGTCCATCAGCAAGCGGCCAATTTTCCGATCGTCTTCTAGGTCGGAGGTTAGGCAGTGGTCCTCTTGGCTGCATTTGCAAGACTTGCATATTTTCCTGGGGGTGGGTGGATGGAGATGAGTGAGATTAACTTCCAGAAAGAAGAGGCAGATTCTTTTGCTAGCAGCATCTACCCTTTTAAAAGCAAGCTAAAACTTTAAGTTGGAAAGGTTAGCAGCAGACAAATGGTATCCTGAGACTAAAAGGCCCTTGGAATTGGGATTTGCATTTGAGAAATGACAGTGTTTATATTAATCTATCAGTGAGGAATGTAGGATACAACTTTCGCTGGTAAAAAGAGTGGCATGTTTTTACTCCTGCTGGTTGCCACGGCAAAGTCCGATTTGTTCATCAGAGATGCTCTAAAGCTGGGCTGGAGTCTGTGTGGCCCATAGCCTAAACCTGGCCCACAATCTCTCTTGCAAATAAAGTTTTATTGGAATATAGCCATTCCCATTCATTTACATATTGTCGGTGGTTGATCTGGGGCAACAACAGCAGAGTTAGTAGTTACAACAGAGAGCGCCTGGCTCACAAAGCCTAAAATATGTACTTACTTTCTGGCCCTTTACAAAAAAAGTTTGCTAACTCCTGCTCTAAAGAATTATTAAAATTGTTTCCCAAGATCATAGCCTCGGAGCTTCAGCAACTTTTAAACTCTTTAGCATAAATACTGACGTTAGAATGCAGTAAACATTTTCTTCAAGAAATTTGTGAACAGGACCCAGCAGGGAGAGAGCTGAGAAAATCCCTCTGGCTGGGGAGATGGATGTTTGTTGGGAAGGCTTTGTAAGGAGAAGGAAACACATCCTGGGGAGGGTTCAGGTTTACTAAAAAGCCTCATGCTTCTCTTTGATAATAAAAAAAAATGTGTGGCTACTTGGTGTCATGCTGTTAAGGTTTAGAAATCCAGAATTCCATAGCGTGAGAGGAAAATTGCTCCCCTCCCTTTCCAGCCTGTCACCATGGGCAGGCTGTGCTGGCTCTCAGATGCTCTTCTGCATGCAACTTGAGAGCTTGTTAAGTAAAGTGAGCAATTTCAAGGCCAACTGCAGGGATGAGGTAGGCCCAGCAAGGGAGGTCACTGCAGCTGAATGATCGGCAAAGCTGAGGGAACCCTCCTTTTCCCTCCTATACTCAGGAAGTAAATACGTCTGATCGAATATCACAAATGTTGATTGTGGGGCTAGTGGGGGCATACCTTGATGGTCTGCATTAATGGTGCTCAACTAAGGTCAATTCTGTCCCTCGGGACAGAATTAGCAATGTCTGAAGACATTTTCAATTGTCCCAGTGGGGTAGGGGAGTGCTATTGGTGTCTGGTGGGTAGAGGCCAGGGATGCTGCTAAACATTCTACATTCCACAGAACAGCTCCAACAACAAAGAGTTATGAGGCCCAAAATGTCAATTGTGCTAAGAGACTGGGAACCCCTCACTGAATATGAAAAGAAGGCCTTGTTGTGACCTTTAAGGAGCTTACAGTTGGGATGGGGGAGGGAGAGACAATCAGATGGAAATTATATAAAGTACAATATGTTCGGGGCAGAAGAGAGTTGCCTATAATCTGGGGGTAGTTCTACTGGCCTAGGCCAGTTCTTTGGGAGATTATTATGTGGTACATAGAAAAAGGCTTGGTGCTTAGTGGTCATGAGTTTGGAAAACAGTGGGCTAAGGGAGGTTAAACACCTCTCTTTAGTGCAAAGTTACTCCTTGACTTTGATACGGTGATGTGCGGCATGACATTTTGAATGCTACTGGAGAAGCTTGCAGTACAAGTTCACATTCAGTGGGCTGCAATTTGAGAAATGTTAAAACTGACAATCTCAAGGATGCATTCCAGCAGCAAAAAAGAGAAAATGACCCTAAGGGTGCTGCAGGGAATAAATGAGGTTTTCCTTCTCAAAAAAAATTAAATAAATAAAAATAAAAATGGGTGGTTTTGTTTTGCATTTTATTCACAATCAGTAATATTCTCTTGCTTATCCCTTTCCAGAGCCAGGCACGAGGAACCTGCTTCTTTAAGAAGTCAGGCACTAGGCAGTATCAGGGGTTGACAGGTGGGGAGTGAGAACAGCAGGGCTGGAAGTGGAAGGAGGAGGAAGAGGCAGAAAGTGAAGGAAATCCTGGCATGGAGGGACACGGAGGAACCTGACTCTTCAGTGTCCCATCTGACCTCTGACCTCCCCAATAGTTTCCATAAATAGAACTAGATGAGGAGGCTGCCCATAGCTTTTTCGGTTAATGTGGAATTTCAGGATGCTAATTAGAGAGGCTGGGAATGCAAAACCTTTCAAAACAAAACAAAACAAAAGTTAACAGATCTGAGATGTTCTTTGAAACTGTGTCGACACAATTTCCCCTTTTATTCACACTCTTCATGTGGCCAGGCACATTTCTGGGACTTTATACATGAGGGATACACCCCTCTCACCCCATCCCACTCTTTCCAGGTGCCCAGATTGTAGAAGACACAGGCACACCCCAGAATATCCTCAACGGTATTAAAACGGTCATTTCTGCAATCTGTCATTGGTAACCTGAGACTGAATTCTGTCCTGTGACGATTAGTTGATGGACTTTCCTATTAAATCAGGTTGGCTGGCACTTTGGTCATTTAAAGGTCTTTCAAACAATTGAGAGTTTTAAAAAGTTTAACAGGATTTCCCCCCTAAGCTTCTGTGATGTTACTGCTTCAATTTGAGTCTAATTTAAGTCCCTATTTGGATTCTTCAAACCAAGTCCCTATTTGGATTCTTCAAACCAAGGACACTTGATATGCAGGACCTACAAGCTTCAATCTGTATTTCTTCACTTGATGTTCAAATCATTTGTACGACGACAAGGAAATGGAGGGATTAAAACAATACTAAGAGAATTCTCCTTGTAGCCATGAGAAACAGGGTCCAGAATTGTCCTCTCTTCCTAAACAACTAGAAAACCTGAAAAAAATCTACCAAACGACCATTTTCAGATGTTTGACAGCAGGCAGCACAGGATTGTGATCCTTGAGAGAAGGGGAAACCGATTTAATTGACTCGGTGGGTGCATTTAGATAACATTTTCTCCTGACTCAAGAAGTCTAAAAGGAGACATCCTAGCTGTCTTCAAATTGCTGAGGAGGAATCCACGCTGTTCTGAGATTCTAAGGGAAGATTCAGGACCAGTGGGGTTGAAATGATAAGGAAGTTGACTTTTCCAGGCCAGAAAGAGCTCAAATGGCCAAAACAGAAATGCGGAGAACTCCTCCTAGGAGTGTTTACATTATAGATGGATTTTTTGCAGGGGATAGAAGCCTGAGTTAGATGACCTTGAAGGTCCCTAGCAACCAGAAGACGATGCGAGCTCCTCTGAGGTTGGGAACTGTCAGGGAATGGAGTCAGGGAACAGAGTTCTGCTCTGAAAGCTCATAGCCCAGTGTACTGCAGAACGGTTAGGAGCATGGGATTGGGATTCACGCAGATCTGAGTTCAAAGCCTGCCGTTTGGTAGTTGTCACCCCATTGCCTGCCTTCAGTGTCCTGATCAACGAAATGGAGATACCTAATACCTACCGCTTTGGTTTATTTCAACATTTAAATAAAAAAGATTTCATTCGGTTCATGAGTAAGTAGTTATTTTTATAATTCCCATCTCATAATGGAAGTCAGTACTGCTGCGAAAACACCTTCCAAACTTTGTTCCCCCACTGAGGGCCCAAGGCAACACTACAGCAGTGATGATAAAAACTCTTTCTTTGCTATGTGCTCCACAGAACTTAACTTTCCTCTCCCAAGGCTGCAGGGACAGTCTCACAGTCTATTCCCTGCACAACTCTAGAGGTGCTGTCCACATACATGCTGACATGAGTGCTGCCCAGGGACTGTGCAGTGTGGCAGCCTCACTCTTGTCCTCAGAATCATCAGTGGAAAAAAAGAAAGAAAACATCTGCAAATCCAACTCCAGCTGGATCTTATGGTCTTCCCATGCGGATATGAATACCAGGTCCTGGTTTTTAAGTACTGTGGACAGAATGACCTCTCTTTCTGTCCCAGGGGTCACTCTAGACCAAAACCCATCAACAGCGATGTTAGTGCAGTGCGGGGAGATCAATCCCATCCACCAAACCTTAAGGCATACCCCAAATGCACAAGGGACCAGCTAACCTCTGCCTGGGTCTTTCCAGAGCAGTTCTTGCTGGGCTGGGCTTGGTGGACTCTACCTTGAAATGGTTTAGGAAGCGCTAAACTCCTTTTTCACATCTTTACTCCCTCTGCCACCCTCCCCCAAGGACTTTTTTCATGCTTCTGAATTGGACCAAGCAGGAGTGCCTTCCCTCTGCAGCCATCCTTCCCTGACAACGCATACAACCAAAGCAGTCTCAGCGAAGAAAGCAACCAGGGTTCCCCGAGAGGACAGCCAAGTAACAAAGGCAGATAGGGACCCTCCTGACAAAATCTGTTACCTCCATGAATGTGGCTCGAAGCCCGAACATGTCCCCTTGCATCCCAAACATGCCACACCTCTTGCTGACTGCAGCTGGCCCAGGGACATCTGGAAAAGGAACAGAAAAGAGGGTGTTTTCCTTCCAAACATCTTGGACCGGAGATGCTTGACCTCTAAAAGACTTGGCATGCTGGCAAAGGGACTGTGTGGGGTTCAAAGGGCTTGAGATCAATAAGCCATCACAAACTGTTTACCAGGAACTGAGAAGACCAAACGGGAACATGGAATGGGGCCAGAGGGTAGGCAAGTGTGGAAGGGTGGGGCTCTTCCCAATAAGAATGCAATGGGGGTTCTTTCCCAGCCTCCAGTGCTGTTTCAAAACAGCAAGACTGGTTGGAAACGCCCTGCTGTGAGTGACCATCTATCTGTTCCATCCCCCACCCTCACCCACTCTCACTTGTCACTGGAATGGAATCTCCAATGAGTGTCTCCTCTCCCTCATTTATTTGTGATTTATTGATAGAATGTGATTAAACCAAAGCTACAGGCACAAACAAACATGCATGCTGCCAAATGTTTATAGCTCCAAGCATAACTTAAATATTTTGCTAAAACATTGACAAATCACATGAACACTTAAAATGTCCTTTGGAAGGAGAACAATGCATGAGACAGGTTTTATTACTTGTTACCAGCCAAAGGTACCAAAAGTGCATTGGCTCCTGCTGCTGAGGTGTTTAGACCCAAATGGCATCTTCGAACCAGAAGCATCACCTGGGAGCTTGCCAGAAATACAGACCATTAGACCCCACTCCAGCCGGTTTGAATCAGAATCTGTACCTTAACAAAATTCCCAGGAGATCTTCATTACATTAACATTGGAGAAGAAGTGGGTTAGTAATATGGATCTGCTGGCCGAGAAACTTACCCAGCTCTCCATTGGGGTTGGGGTGGGGACGACTTGGTACAGGGATGTACTTTATTATGATTTCACCAGAAGCAGGGCTCAATCAACTAGTAATGTAAAGGGATAAGCTTCTTATCCAACAAACATACCATTTATTTAGCATCTACTATGTACCAGACACAGGAATACAATATAAGACTCAGGTGTGCCCTAGTGGAACTCACGGTTAGCTAGGCGGATATGGAGAGAAAAACACATTCATCTCCTGCTCCTATAAGGGGCAAGTCTGAGGTAAAGGAAGCTGCCTGTTGTGTAGTAAAAAAGGCATGGATTTTGGAGTTTGAGAGACTTGGATTCCAAATTGAGCTTTTCAACTTATTGGCTGCATGGCCTTGGACATACTGAGCCTCAGTTTCCTTACCTGCCAAATGGGTACAGAGATAATATATGTAACATACAGGACCACATTAGGCACTAGAAATGGTAACTGTTCTTATTTTGCCACAGATTTTAGAAGCACAAAGGCAGGTGCTAATAAACTCATATGGGAAATATGAGTTTATTAGAGCAGATTACTTCTTCTTAGAGGAGGTGACTTTGGATTTGGGCTGTGCAAGATGGACAGACAGAAAAGGGGAAGGAGACGCCTAGCAGAAGGAAGAAAATGTGCAAGGTATAAAAGGTATGAGTAGGGTATACAATCTGAGCATGTCCTTTGGATGCTACTAGTGTACTCTCTTGGCGTTTAAGAGGGGAAAAAAAAAACAAGCAGTGAAACTTGTGAAGCCATCCTCATTGCCAGTGGTAGAATTCAGACATACGGAAAGAGACAACTGTCCTTCACAATACTTCTCTTCTGTACCAAATCTTCCTACAATAATGCCTCCCTCCCTGCCTTCTATTTGGTCACTGCTGTTTACACCATGTCCCCACACACTCTGTCATTTTGTTCAGTACATATTTACAGCTTCAGGGAGTGAGAGCCATGTTGCACATATGTGGAGTGTGGAGGGAAGCATGTTTACATTTAGGCCTATTCATGTGAAAAGTGAAAATTAAGACAACACCCACTGCTAACTCATTCTCCTAAGCTGGGGAGCTTTCATTCACAGGCAGGACTTTGCTCCCTAAAGCCACTGGCATATAACCTTGCTCATTTCCACCTCTCCTTCTTGACACCTTCAGTTCTCCTAGTTGAAATGCAGTGATCTTTACACACTTAAAATTGGAGGCATTCAAAGTTTATTTTGGGAGACATACAACTTGTGAATAAGGCTTCATTGTTGGACCATTTCAGATATACTCAGAGGGCTGGAAACTGGAGAGGTAGGTGGAAGCATTTCCAAGTGGCAAAGCACCCTGCACACTTCAGCTTTATTGTTCTTCTAATGAGAGGCTGATTTAACCCTCATTCTACAAGGGTATTAGTTCTGATGCTTGGCTTGGAGAGTGGAGCTGCAATTTGCCTGCAAACTCAGAGTTTGATTTAGAAATAGTGACGTAGGTAGCATAGCAGGGCAGAGCAGAGCACTGGCTGGTGATGCAGGGGTCTGGCCTTTGGGTGCCAACTCTGGCATTTATTAGCTGTGTAACTGGAGACGAGTCATTTCCTTGCCCAGCCTAAAGCATCTCCTCTGAAACATAAGGAACTCGCCTGCACTGGGGTTGCCCACATTCTGTTCTGCAGGATCCTCACTTGGTGAGATGTTACAAAGTGGTTCCTGGTTGGGAGTGGGAGAGGGAATTACCTGATCAAATACAAATGGCAGGCACTGGATGTATAGAGGCTCCCAAGCCTTTAACAGGCCAGTCTACGCTAGAAGCAAGAAGTGAGGTAGAGAGCAAGCAGATGTTTTGGGTTTGGAGACCCAGGCTTTAGTCCTGGGTTTTAGTGCCAGTTTTTCCCCTTTCCTCTGCTGTACTTGGGCAAGTAGGCTTGTTGAGTTCCAGGCTCCTGACCCTGACCTGCGTCATGGGGATAACAAGAATGCAACCTGCCTTGCAGGGTTACCAAGAGGTTAAATGGGATGCTGCCTGAAAAGGGCTTGGCACACACTTATTAGGCACTGAGCGTTCTTTGTCGTTGTTGTCATTAATTACATCTTGTGAAAAAAAGTTTGAGAGACCCTGAATTAGATGTTCTCAACGCATTTTTTTTTCTAGCTTCAAAATGCTAGGGGACTTTAGAGGAACTATTTTTTCTAAATACACATCCTCTGTACTTTCTTATTCCCTACTTTTATGACATGTAAAAAGAGTTGCCTCTCTGACTAGGTTTTCCTACAAAATGTAAAAACAAAATAAGCTCACACATGTCCCATACTTAATGATTAATTCATTAAGCGAGGCCATCCCTAGCCCTTTGCCCTCGCGGTGCTCTGCTACCCATCACCTGAAGAGAATCGACGTTAAAATCTCAACAAGCACAAAGAAAGCCCCATGCAGTCAGGCAAGTGAAGACGCAGGCAGTCTGGCCTAGTTGGGCAAGAACGCTAAACTAAATGGAGGTTCGGGAAGTAGAGAGTTGGCCCTGGTCTCCATTGGCTAGTGGGACGGTTTCCATGGCAACAGAAGTATGTGGGAGAGAAAAATAAATGGCCTTGCAAGGAAGAAATTGATTCAGGTCATCAGGCCACACTTGCAGCTAGTTTCCTGGCTGACTGTTTAATGTAATAAATAGTCATTTGTCTACTGCATGCCATTCATCCAGAAGCCAGACAGACCCCACTATCTTCAACACAGAGAGAACGATCTTGTTTACTGAGGAGGGGAAAACATCAGTCAGCCACAGTTCCAAGTGAGATACTCTGGTTTATAAACAGTAGGTTTTTCTGATGTGGGCTCTGTCTCTTGAAAGACGGCACAGTGTCTCACAGTAGCTGAGAATAGAAGAGTTTAAAAGAAACCATCACTTAAAAAAAGGTTTCTTGGAATGCAGCATCTAATCTGTCCTTTCTCCCGAGAAGAGGAAGAAATGTTTTGACGATTTTATTTGGCTCGGGTTAGTAGGATGTGGTTCATCTGATATTATCGTGAAACTGAATGGTGGCAGGGACTTAAAAGGACTTAGATCAGACCAGGAGACCCCTGGGGATGCAAGGAGCAGGGGCAACTCTCAAGCATTTGCCTTCAGGTGAATCTCAAGGGAAGTCTTAGAGGGAAACAAATGTCACGAAGAACAATGTAGGGTTGAGAGGAAGAAGAACGTAAAAGAGAAAATGCAATCAGGAATTTAGGGATGAGCATGGGATTTGGAATTAGAAAATGGGGGTTCTCCTTCCAGCTCAGCTTCTTCCTCATGGAGTAACTCAGTTTCCTCCTCTGAAAAATGAATTATCCCTGCCCTTTCTTTGTCTCAATAGGGCTGTTGTAAGCAGCATGTAACATTAAAAGGCAGTAAATTGAAATAAGCATTTACCATTGTTAAAAAAATAATTAGATGTGGTGGCTCATTCCTGTAATCCCAGCACTCTGGGAGGCTGAGGCAGGGGGATTGCTTGAGGCCAGGAGCTCGAGACCAGCCTGTGCAACATAGTGAGACCCCCCATCCCTACAAGAAAACAAAACAAAACAAAACAAACTAGGTGTGGTAGTATGCACCTGTAGTTCCAGCTTACTTGAGAGGCTGAGGCTGGAGGATAGTTTGAGCTCAGCAGTTTAAGGCTGCAGTGAGCTATGACCATGCACTGCACTGCACTCCTCCTGTCCCCCTGGCCCCCCAGAAAAGTATTTAAAACTCAGATGTAAGGCAGAAAGGTGAGTGGCACATCCTTTCAATGCCATATGGAGGCAACATGACACTGGGTCTCCTCATCCCCATAGGATTATCTAGAGAAATTTACTTTGCTCAGCTCCGAGACTTGGTGAAGTAACATGTTAACTTGCAGATCTTGGTCCAATAGAGATACAAACAATTTCTGTCCTTTCAAAAAAGATAACCTCAAATGTTATAGTTTACTGTTCTGGAAGACATTAACCAGTTTTGTAACTAACCCATCAATCTTGTCCTAACATTAAACTACCTATAAATACCTAACTCCTCGAGAGCTTTTTAAACTGGCCTAAACATCATACAGGTTCCTTAGAACACAATCTTTGTTAAATTTCACTTCATATTTGCACAAAAGTCGTGATTCTACCTTTTTGAAAGTTGTATCTTAGTACTATCACATGCTCAAATGATGACCCACAGGTTTGCTTT